TATGTTTAAAACAACAGTTTAAAATGAGTAGATCGTACTGGGCCTGTACCTTTAGCGCGTTATAGTTTTACGGTAACCCCAAGTAAATTCGAATTAGTGGGTTCCATTGACTTCAGACATTTTTCTTCTATGGAAACATTTTTTTTTATAAAAGATTGGTTTGGAGAGGCCCGAGGAAATTGGCTTTTTTGCCCGTAGGATAACGCGCCACTGGCCCTTACAATCGTCGACAAAGTCGTAAAACTATCGATCAATATAATTTGTTTAGAACTGCTAAAAAAATTCGATAACTTGCCGAAATTATTTTGTCTCCTCTCCATGATCTTTTATGGAATGTTAGAACAATGCTAACGTTTTTCTTCTCTTACAAAACAATATACGTTAATTATTGTTGCAGCCGATAAAATTATCGTGACGTAACAAGCGCGTGCATGAACTTTTACAATATATTTTTTTTTATTTAGTTTTTCCGGCCGTTTGCATTATGACATTTTCCACGCCAATTGTGAATTCAGTCAGCCCCACAATGGACTTATTTAAAAGCCCTCTTAATATGCCCTATTTTTTTCGATATGCATCGTACCCGGAGCAAAACTATTTTGGGAAACTTGTTTCAGTCTTCAGGAGAATTTTAGATCTGTTTACGTGGATTTTCTTGATAGAAAGTTGGCAAATCTGTTACGACTGTGCAGACGCAAGCGAAAGGGAGAAAGTGGCGTGATCTTTTTATACAGTATATAGATGGCAGATATGAGAAATAACCATTTCTATCAGCCATTTCTAATCCTGGGCCGAGTCGCATACGCAGTATTCAGCCAGAAGAGGCGGGCCACCATAAATGTCAAACTCAGTTACATATTTTCCAGAGTCAGAAATTCTTTCTCACCAGCGAGATTTCTCGTTTCTCGCTCGTTCTTGGTTTTCCATTGCAAGAATTATATCTTGCGACTATACATACGTGAACCGAGTAGCGAGCGATATAGTTCTTGCAATGGAAAACCAAAAACGAGCGAGAAACGAGAAATCTTTCTGGCAAGAACGAATTTCTGGCGAAATATATTTATGGCTGCTCGCCACTTCCCGCTGAATACTGCGAGAATTAAGAACTTTTTATGAGAAACGAAACGTTTAAATTTATTATTAGTAGAGCCGATAGATATACTGGTTTTTGTGCTGCCAATAACTCTAATGTTACGATAGTGGCGTAATAAATATTTCTGCCACTTCGAGCGCTTCAATCGCATGAAGGCGTAAGTTTGGCTGGAGCATAGAGATAGTCAGCTGTAAACATTCGAAATTCTTTTAATATATGAAATTTTCTCGTTTTTAATTCAGCTATTGCTTTTCTCTTTTTTAAAAGACTGCTTAAAAATACTATTTTAAGTCGGTTTTGAATGTTATTTATTCGTAAATGTCGTTAATATTTATATTTCTATTAACTGTCACTTTCAGGATTTTAGAGTTTAAATTGATTAGACTCAGGGCCTAATTTAGACCTTCGAGGGCCCTAGGCAAAATAATATTTACAGGCTCCTTTACAAAGTTTGTATTACTACAAATATAAATAAAACTGTAATATTTAAAATTAAAGTATTTTTATTTTTACATTTGAATATCTTACATTGTATTTTTGGGGCTACAATAAAATTATGCAGCAATAAACATTACATTTTTCTCAAAAAACACTGCTTTATTCTGAACTTCACCGGACAGATATAATACGCATATACCGTATTACCTAATTCTCAGTGATGCTATTAGATGTCGGAGCAGTAGGTAATTATTAACGCTTGAATATGGCGCTAATAATATGGTAATTCGCAATACTAATAAAACAATGACACGTTTATAACCTATTACGGGCCCCAACTAATCACGGGCCCCGGGCAAGTGCCTTGCCTGCCTTGTGCCAAATTAGGCCCTGATTAGACTGTTTGTTTTTTCTCCCAATTTGTGTTCATTTTAAAATATTTTTGGAAGTTGTCGTTAAAGGCAAGAAAACGTAGACCAACAATTTATAGTTAAGCTATATACAGTATACACTAGATAGATGACATTGAGAAACTCGAGACGACGTTTATCGATATAATTAGCCTGGGGAGCAGTTTGAACTGTAATATCTCATAAATGAAAGATTATAACTGATTTATTGTTGAGAAAAGAAAAAAAATACGACAAAAAGTACAGATAAAAAGAAAAGTGAATAACGTGGTGTTAAGGTGTTGTGTTTTTTTGGTTTGAAAAGTGTAATAACGAAAATTAAAGTAAAGTGAATAAATAAAGTAAACTAAACAAAAAAGTAAGAAATAGAAGAATAATAAAATAAAATCAATTGGCATTTAAGCGAGAAAAGTCTTGGATAAATTGGAATCGTTCGTTAAAAGCAGCCGCGTTTGAGATTTTGTTCAGTCTCGACTGAGGGAACTGCGTTTGAAACATAACGCAGACGAGTCGCTTGACACGACTAAAAAACATATACGTATTCGAAATAGTTGAAATAGTTACATATAAGTTGAAAATTTCGGATGGAAGGAGAGGAAGGAGTTGAGTTGAGCCCGAATGCGAGCTACTGACCTGCTCCAATTGGGAGCAGGTCAGTAGCTCGCATTCGCGTTCGCCTCAGACTACGCATTGGTTAGTGAGTGTCAGCTATCAGAAAAAACGCAAGAAGTTTTTTGAAAAATAATCCAATACAGATCTGAAACGAATAGATATTTCCTCATGGGCACTTGGTAACGTTAATATCAAGGACTATATACTACAAGGATAGCCAGATCCCTATTCTACAATGTTAGCCAGGAATGCCAAGTTAGTGACGTCAGGACGATACCAGATCTCTTTGTTTACCTAGAGCATGGTGTGCACGTGTTTAGTTTTCGCTTTTAATATTCGTCCAATTTTGTGATTAACGAAGTGATTTATTTTAATATTTCTGTAATTGTTTTATTTGACTAAGTTTTTTATAAGGTAAGATGATTTAAATATAAGTCATTAAATATTTAAAGCTATATTTTTATGTTAGGTGAAGAACAAAATGCTGAGTACTAGGTGTGCTGTGTATGGTTGCAATAATAACCTTCTTTTTTCAAATTGGAAGCAACCTGTTTACATCGGGTTTGATCAAAAAATGACAAGAGAAATACTTTTAAAATTAATAGCAGAACTTTATTTACTATCGTATAATGTAGTAGCTTGCGTCAGTGACTGTAGTTGCAGTAACATAAGTTTATGGAAAGAATTGAATGTGAATATCAATGAAACGTTTATTATGAATCAATTATTATTATCAATGAAACGTATATTAGAGATATAAATATGTGGTTCGACATTTTTAATAGCTATGCACCAAAAGGTTCTGTTCCAAGCAAAAATGGATATGGTGTAGACTTGGAATTACAAGAAGAACATTTAAATAAAATGATAAAAATAATCTCAACAATGAGAGCAAGTGGAAAAAATGCCCTCCAAATTTTCCAGAAAGGAATGATAATCTCAATGAAATCGCTAATTGATCTTTTTCAAGATATGAAATCGACTTTTGATATAAAATACATCTGCACTTAAATCAAGATTGTCTGGAAAATTTTTTTTTTTCAAATTAGAAGCCGGGGTCCTAATGAACATCCAAGCCCATTAAATGCTATATATAGGATTAGATTGATTATTTTAGGTAAGAATCCTGGTATTTTAGAGTCAAAAGTAAATACTACAGATCGAAGACAAGAGGAATATATTATACCCAAAGTTTTAGAGAAAGCACATGTAGAAGTATCAAGTGAAAATACAGACCAATATACTGAATGTAAAACTACTTTTTCTTCAAATAAATCTTCAGGAAACTCTACATGCAATCTAGACTTTAACACAATCTCTGAAGAAACTTCCTACGATGCTCTCGAGTATATAGCAGGATATTTTGCCTATAAATATAAAGAAAAATACCCAAACTTAATTAATTCCACTAACAAAATTAAAAATCATCACAACTATAGCATTCCGTCATGGGTGCAACATTTATCTTATGGAGGGCTTATTAAACCTACTGATGAATGGCTAGCAAAAATTATAGAATGGAATAAATATTTCGAAATATATCACGATGAATCGTATAAAAAAGGCCCCGGAGTTGTACAGAATTAGTCAGTGGAAACAGTTTTACCTTTTACTTTAATAAAAGATTTTTGTAAATTAAGAACTATAATAAGAATTAATTATAGAAATCTTAAACAAGAAAACTATAAAATATTGAAAAGAATGCCTTCTGAAAATGGTGATTGTCGAAAAAAAATTAAAAAGTTAAGTAAGATAATCACATAATAAAAAATATAGCTCATTAATTTGTTAAATAAATATTAGACAAAAGACTTGTAAATTTATTGACGTACAGTACACTTCTTAAATCCGAAAATTTTACAGTAGTTTACATTTAGTAGTAATTTAATAATTAATTAAGAAATGATTTAATATTTTATCGTATTTTGTTATTTGAAAGAGCTGTCATGTTGAAGTAGAGGGCTTGCTGTGATGTCACATAAAGACAAGGTCACGCTAACAAATATACGGGATCTGGCTATCCTTGTAGTTTAAAGTCCTTGACGTTAATATAAGTTTATTTTTATGTAAATTTAATATTTATTTTTAAAGAAAATAATTATAAAACAGTAAACATCAAATATATTTATACAAATGTTTTTGTTTTGATAAGAAATGAAGAGCTTAAAATCTATTTTCGTTAATTGTGCTTAAAGAGTAGGATCCCGGTGTGATATGTCCCAGTGTTAAGGGAACGGAACCGGTTGACCACTGATGGACCGATCCTTCAAGTGCCCACAGGGCAGAAAGAGTCCAAAAATAAAAAAATAAAAAATAAAATTTTGTAAATGGTTAGCGGTTATTTTTAAATAAAAGTATTTATAATTTATTTTTTTTTCTTATATCCATTATAACGAAATAAATTATTCGATATGGACAGATTCGTTATAATGATATTTAAGGGAGAAATTGGTATCAAAAGCAAAGACTGGCAACACGTACTAAAGTTCAAGAAATAAAAATGGCTACTCCTTCGAGTGAAGAGTTACAAGTTAAAAGTAAAAGACCTTCGAGTAAGTTGAAACTAGAAATATTTATTCTAACGAATAAATCTATTCTAGTGTTGTTTAATTAATGTATTTTTCGTGAATTTTTTAAAAGTATTTTAACGTAAATGTAGCAGTTTTACATAATATAAATGCTGTCATTTAATATCAACATTTGTCATAGAATGTCGTATGATTGCAGTAGGATTGCAAAAGTAATTCCCGTTTTGTTTATGAAAAAGGCTTGCAGATGATTATTAAATGGCAGAACTCTTATGACTTATTAAGTCATAAGAGTTCTGCCATTAATTTATATTAATGCCATTAATAGGGGTTTATTTTTTAATCACCTTTTATATTTGATGAATTGAAGCTATTTAGTTTATGTATAATTTGTTAGAGGGCGGGAACCCCCAAACTGTAGAGCCCCCTTTGTAATCAAATAATGTCTAATGAACCACACCTGTAAGTGCGACCCTTCACGAGATATAGTCCCCCCAAAATCGGACCACACCGGGATATAGTTAATCGTGTGCTATGAACCAATTATGGTGTGTAGATAAAGAAAACACAAAAATGAACGTTTCAAGTTCTTCATCAGGTTTTTTAACGATTCCTCAATGGTTCTTCATTTTGTAATAAAACACCTCAGATGGTTGGAGGCTGTGCACATTTTTAAATCCAGTTTTACATCAACATGCATAAATTATAATGAAGAAATGGTTTTGTCAATGGCCTGGCAAGAGTTGATTGACAACGCGGTTTAGCCGTTTGTTGTGTCTTGGTAGAGCGACACTCTGCGCAGGTGCAACGTGGCTTTAATAACTTTTTCGAACTTATATTTGAACTCTTGTTCGAATTTTATTTCAAAACAAAGAACTGTCGAGAAATCGTTAAGAAATCTGATGATGAACTCGGAAGGAGTTCGAAAACATTCATTTTTGTTTGTTTTTGTTATCTACACACTGTAATTGGTTCAGAGTATGTGATTACCTGATTAAAGGAACTGACATCCTTGAGTGGGTGGGGTACTGATAGGTTAGTTCCCACCTCTCAACTTTCGGTCAACCTTGGGAAAATTTACATTCCTGTTTTCTGTTTTGTATACCAAACCCATCCATTTATGGGTATGATTGTTTTGTTTTGCTTTATTATTCAGTAATTATACTTTATTAATGTTTTGTTCTGAAGAGTTAAACTTTAACAGGTTCCAACAATATCTGACAGAGTTTTAAATCACTCTTGGATGTAGAAAAAATCTAAATAGAACTATGAATCCAAAGCAGTTTTTGGGAAATGATCTTTGAAAACCTGTTTCTTGTAGCACTGAAAGATTATTAGGATTGATAAAAATTAAAATAAATTGGAAAATATCTTAAAGTTAGTGCTCTTTTCATGAATGACTAAAAATGCTTATATGATGTGATATAATAATCCTTTTAATCCCATTCAATATCAAATACATTTTGTATTCAAATTCAATAGAGTAGTAATTGTTTCATTTTGAATAGGATAGATTTTCTTCTTCTAGTAAGCAAAGATGGGTTTGATCCCAATTGTATGCAAAAAGTTTAATATCAGTCGTCATTAACAAAATACTATAAACAATTCACATACCATTTATCACTGATAAATAAAAAGGATAACAAACCTTTGAATTATAGAACAATTTGAACATCTACTTTTAGTGGACTATTCTACTGTACTCAGAAAATAGGAGTTAAAGTTTAATGACATCCACCCCTTTAAATGGATGCATAGTTTGTATATTGAGGAGTGCATATAGTGATTTGAAAATCATTTAGAACATTAATTTGTTTTTGTAAGTGAATTTTATTTTAACTTTATCTAGTAAATTAATTCAAAATAATATAATTTTGATTGTCTATCAAGCCTTAACTTCATAAATTATACAACCTTGGCTTTGACTCTGAAAATCATTAATACAAATTTTCAATAAAATGAACTATTCCCTAGCAATTCATATTAACACAAGTTGACTGCACTTATAATTATTTTATGTGAATTGGATATTTTTATTACTAGTTTTTGAAAAACAGGGTTGCTTTACTTTGTCTCATTCTTTTCTGAGAATAATAATATAAAAATATCTTAAAGAATGAATGTACTATATTTCTAAATGTAAAGTATATTCTCTTAATAATTTAAGAAAATATACTTTACATTTAGAAAGCATATTGTTAGATCTTTATCCTAAATAGAACATTTGATAATATTCTTTCTCAGATTGTCTGATTTAATTCTGCTACTAATGATTAGTGATGGACAATACCAAAATTTCTCCTGATTCCAATTCTTTTGAATATTTCCTAAAGCTTATTTTAGTTTAGAAAAATTATATTTACATTACGAGCGTGGTCAATTCATTGATAAATCGAGCATAAGAATGGAAAATTATTGGGAAATTTGGAATCATCTTTTGAAAGAAACTCGAAAATCCTCTATATGTGGATATGCATGCTTTTATTGTGTACTAAAAAATAACTTTGTAATCTTATTTTGGATATAAAGTTAATATTGCAACACCGCCTTTGAAGAAATTATAGTTAATACCCTTTTACTCAAAGAATTATCCCATTGTGTCTTTAGAGTTGCCATCTTTGGAAACTGCTTTGTTGGCTGATGCCATGACTGGGGAGGAGGAGAAGGTAAATGAGAAAATGCACTTCTTTTTTACTATTTCTTGCAATCAGTATGCCATGTAAATGCATTATTCCATTGTATTTAACACTAAATGAGGTTCAGCAAATGATGCAACTAGCCAAGGAAATGCCATTATTACAAATTAACCAAGTTTTGAATTTATTCACCCAAGGCTAGGTTTTTCTAAATGTATGTACAATTGCATGAAATTTTTTTTGAGATAAAGAAGAATCAAATAAATGTATAGACCAGGGTGTCCAACCTTTTTGTTTCTCTGGGCTGCATTGGAAGAAGTCAATGAGTTTTGGGCCACAAGTATATATAATATATACTTGTGGCTCAATATACAAGTATATTTAAGGATTAACATGTCTAGATTATAATAATAAGTATTAAAACTTTATCACAAAACAGGATATTTTAAAAAATTACTTCTACAGACACTTTCAATTTTTACTTAGAAATAGATAAATTCATTTATTTGATAAAATGCAAATATTCGGTTTATTTGAGTCTCTGATTAATAAAAAGCGATGAAACACCATTTTAAAGTGCATTTTTATTCATCTAATATATTTATAAATGATATGTAGCCCCAAAAGTAGCCAAAGCTCCAAATGATATTTTTTTACATTAAACTAAAAAAAGTAGCCACATTTGGCACAATGTAGCCAAATCTTGTAACGCTGGAAGGAATACTAAATAAAGCTGGAGTTTTTATTCAAAGGATTATAGAGCCAAATTTGAAAAAAAGAAGAGAAAGGACAAAAGATAAAGAAGTGAGAAAGGTTGGAAAATTAAGACTCAATATTTGCCTAACACAGGGGTCGGCAACCTTTTGAGTCGGAAGAGCCAAAATTACAATTTACAAAATTTCAAAGTTTTTAAAGAGCCACAAAATTTTTTCTTGCCAACAATAAATAGTACTCGCATAAATACAGTAGAGCGTCGTTTATCCAAATCAATTGGGGACTGGGGTTGTTTGGATAACTTATTTTTGGAATAACGAATCATGTACGAAAAAATATATTAATTTATCCCATGTTGAAATTTCTCTCCATTGCGTGTCACTTCGCATTGAATTTTTGTCGATGTTAAGCCTAGCGAAGACTATTGTATCGTTAAAAATTATTTTTTTATTTTGTACAAACAAAATAAATTTATTGAAAAATATAAAAACAATAAAAAATTATACTTCAGATGTTAATTTAGTATCAAAAACGTAAAATATTTGAGTAGCCCGAGAAATAGCCGAAGATTGCAGCGCCACAGCACTAGCGAAAATTTAAATTTGCCAACTGGAATGCTTTCGGAAAACCAGCTTTCGGATAAACATCGCTCTACTGTAAAGTTTTTTGATAAAAAAAACTAATCTATTTATTCATAAGAAAAAATATCTATTTATTCATATATAAGTAGTGTTTTTCACAACAAATTAGATAATAGAAACATCCGACGACGGCATCATTCGAGAGCTTCCGACGGACTGACAACAGTGACGACGCATGTCACGGGGTCAGGGGTGCAGTGAAAAGTGAGTACAAGTGGCTGAGAGATAGAATCTGTGCCTAATCCTCGTTAATCGATTTAGAACGTTTTTTAAATTTTTTTTTTTGATAAAATAAATAATATTTGCATATGGAACTAAAGAGCCGCAGCTTCACATCCAAAGAGCCGCATGTGGCTCGCGAGCCGCAGGTTGCCGACCCCTGGCCTAACAGAAGAACTATTTAACCTTTCTGACAACTTTTTATCTTTTGTCCTTTCTCTCCTTTTGCCAAATTTGAACTTTTTATAAACTCATCAATGCTTTTACAACTGCATTTATTTGTGGAATACTTCTTTTTGCAATGACAGCATATATAGCCTTGCCCTCCACTTTTCAAATTAGTTGCAGTTGCTTCTCTCAGTGACATTTCTTGAGAAGAAATCTCATCTATGGAAAATAACTTTTCTTTACAAATTACGAACTGATTATGTTATTACGTGATTACGAACTGATCTGTTAATGGCGTCTTTTATTCGGATATCGCCGATGCCTTACCGACAACCCCTCTCATCCTCCACCACTCAACCTGACAAACCGATCCCCATCTTGCGGGATCAAAAGAAAAGAAAAAAAAAAAAACACTATTCAGTGACAAAGTGGTTGGTTTCTACCAAACCGTTGCATGGAAAAGAGGTACGACCTTGTCCTACCTCCGGCTACCCACAAAGGATTTGGTGATAGTCTGTCACCTCTCTGTCGACATCGGCTTCTCGGGTGTTGTTTTGACCTTCACCAAAGCTTATCTGTGCATGTGGACATACACCGGCGATTGTTCGAATGTATAATAATATAACCAAATATTCGGCCTTTCACCGACATATTTTGTATGTGTCGACATTCACCAGAGAATATCAACATTCTCTAATTTCGGTCTTTCACAGTAACATATATATTAATTTGTAAATTTATAATCATAATAAATTTTATAACAACTTTGTTATTTTTTTTTCTTAAAAAAATTTAAGATTTTTTTAATAAAAAAGGAAAATTACTGAATTTGTAGAGAACTTTTTGATGCATTAATTATAATTTTATCAAAATAATATTTAGTTATTTGATACTGAATTATTTAAGTTAAATCTTGCACTTGCTTTTGCAGTAAAATATAGTAATCAATAATCCAGAAAAAAATATGCTATTTTTTAATAAAATCCTATATGTAACTTGTTTTGTGGATTATAAGAATAGAGTTTGGAAATATTTAACATATTTACTGCTTCAATCATTTTATTAGTATGTGGCATGTAAATGTGTTCTTTGCATTACTGATTTCAATTGCTTTGTTAATTATCGTCACTTTTGAAAGATTAATGAAGTTGCAGCCAAAGTTTTCAATGTGATAGAATGCTGAGCATGATTCCACTGATATTCCAAATGCCATTGTCAAACTTCTAGGCTTACAGGAAGGTGGTGCTGAATGTTCGATGTACACATTTTTTCATTGAAAACATTGGCTGCAACCTCACTAATATTGCAGATTTTTAGTATTGAATGATTTATTTTTATGTTTGAGTTTCCATATTTATAAATATATGTTATGGTTGATATTGCTGCTGGTCATTAATATATTGAATATGTAAAAAGAATTAAAACATGGCCAAAACTTCTGTATTAATGTTTTATTTATGATTGTTCAAATAAAGATTTTACTCATATTGAAGACTTTGATTCATTATGTAGAACTTATTTCTATAAAATTGTGATTTTCAATTATACCAAATAGTAAAAAAATATCTGTATTCATTTTGTATTAATTTCCTACTATAATATTTTAGTTGATTTTGCAAACTATCTAATTGTTTTTATTAAAATACTTTTAAATATTTATATTCAGCAACTGTGAACATTTAAATGTATGTATGTATATATGTATGCATAATTCAAAAGTACACTTTATTTTTAAATTTTACAAGAAATCATGCATGTAGTAATGTTTGAAAAACAAAAAGTTCAATTAGAATTAGATACATAATTATTTAAATTATTTTTAAGTGTGTGTGTGTGTGTGTGTGCATGCACACGTATATTAGAGTTTCTACAATGGGATCCTGAGAAACCTGTGATCCCGGCTGTTTTTTAATGTGGGAAATCATGCAAATTTTTTAAAAATTTTTTTTTTTTTTTTTTCTTAAAAAAATTTAAGATTTTTTTAATAAAAAAGGAAAATTACTGAATTTGTAGAGAACTTTTTGATGCATTAATTATAATTTTATCAAAATAATATTTAGTTATTTGATACTGAATTATTTAAGTTAAATCTTGCACTTGCTTTTGCAGTAAAATATAGTAATCAATAATCCAGAAAAAAATATGCTATTTTTTAATAAAATCCTATATGTAACTTGTTTTGTGGATTATAAGAATAGAGTTTGGAAATATTTAACATATTTACTGCTTCAATCATTTTATTAGTATGTGGCATGTAAATGTGTTCTTTGCATTACTGATTTCAATTGCTTTGTTAATTATCGTCACTTTTGAAAGATTAATGAAGTTGCAGCCAAAGTTTTCAATGTGATAGAATGCTGAGCATGATTCCACTGATATTCCAAATGCCATTGTCAAACTTCTAGGCTTACAGGAAGGTGGTGCTGAATGTTCGATGTACACATTTTTTCATTGAAAACATTGGCTGCAACCTCACTAATATTGCAGATTTTTAGTATTGAATGATTTATTTTTATGTTTGAGTTTCCATATTTATAAATATATGTTATGGTTGATATTGCTGCTGGTCATTAATATATTGAATATGTAAAAAGAATTAAAACATGGCCAAAACTTCTGTATTAATGTTTTATTTATGATTGTTCAAATAAAGATTTTACTCATATTGAAGACTTTGATTCATTATGTAGAACTTATTTCTATAAAATTGTGATTTTCAATTATACCAAATAGTAAAAAAATATCTGTATTCATTTTGTATTAATTTCCTACTATAATATTTTAGTTGATTTTGCAAACTATCTAATTGTTTTTATTAAAATACTTTTAAATATTTATATTCAGCAACTGTGAACATTTAAATGTATGTATGTATATATGTATGCATAATTCAAAAGTACACTTTATTTTTAAATTTTACAAGAAATCATGCATGTAGTAATGTTTGAAAAACAAAAAGTTCAATTAGAATTAGATACATAATTATTTAAATTATTTTTAAGTGTGTGTGTGTGTGTGTGTGCATGCACACGTATATTAGAGTTTCTACAATGGGATCCTGAGAAACCTGTGATCCCGGCTGTTTTTTAATGTGGGAAATCATGCAAATTTTTTAAAAATTTAATTTTTTTTTCTTATTTTGTGTTAAAATTGAGGAAATTTTGCAAATAGAAAGTATAATTAACTCATAAACTGTCAGAATACATTTGTATTTATTAATTTTAAGCCTTTTGCTTCTGATAAAACCGTGTTGTAGTTTACTTTTCTTTATACAGACATAATAAAGTGACTTTTTTCAAAAAGTCACTTTACTGTGTCTGTATAAAGCAAAAAAAAATTTTTAAGCCTGTTTATTAGTTTTTTAAATTTTTGCTTATTATGGCATGTCACAGATTGTCAATAATCAATATGTTGCCTATTTGTGGCAGGACCCTAAAAATTCTTTACTTGTTGGAACCTGTAATATCTTGAATAATTGTGCCAATGCTGTCTTAATTTTTAGCCATGCCCAATAGCTTCAATAACTGCATTATATCAGGTTGTGCAAATTGGACCAGGATACAAACAAGTATAAAATATGAAGTACAAAGTTTTTCTTCATAAACTTGATTATATTAAAGCCAAATGAACTACCGTATTATCGGGCTATAAGCTTGATGCCATTATTAAAGTAGCCAAGGTAGACAAATCAAGAATATTAGACAGCAAAAGAAGTACTGTAATGCATCTCAAAAACGAACTAGAAATCTTTCAGGCTACAGGTGAAAAAACACACAACATTTGTCTTCTCTTAAATGCAGTAAAGATGATTCCACCCACATCAATTGAATCGAAAAGGGCATTCTTGTAGCAGGGCTTCTCATTACTAAAATAAGAACCAGATTGATTGATTGGAGTATTGACCATCTTTTCTTTTTAAAATCTTATAAAAATTTACAATAATATTTTGTATTGTGTTTTATTTAAATAATGAAAATTACCTTCTAACTTCAAAGTTTGGTGTAAGTTTATTTTTTTCTTTAAATTTTCAACTCAATTCAAAGGCATTTTTGTTATAAGCAGTTTCCAACAAACTTTAATAAATTTTTTCTCTTTCTGAAAATTTGTACGTAATTCAAAAGTAATTTTTTTATACATATTTTACACAGCATTATTATTATTATTATTATTTTGGAGGTTGCAAAATGGACATATTGAGATACTTAAAAATTTATTTTAAATTATTTTAATATTTTAAAGATTTATTTTATATCCTAAAAATAACTAATTATATCCTGGGATCCCAGGAAACAGTTTGCTTTTTCTCAGAATCCCAGGACAAGCAAAAGACTGGGAAATGAGAAATCGTATATATTTATTTACTTATTCATTCACATCTTATATATAAAGCAAATTGTAGCAAACCTATTAAGCAGAATAGTTTTTCTATACTAGAGAATTATATTGATTTTGTTTTTAAATTTTGATTGATTTTACATGATGATTTTTATGTATTTTACAGGTAGTGCCTTTAAACAACAAAAATTGCCAGCTTGGCAACCTATTTTGACTGCTGGAACAGTTCTTCCTACATTTTTTATTATAGGTTTAGCATTTATACCCATTGGTATAGGTCTATTGGTTTCATCTAATGAAGTAAGTTTAGTGTGTTTGTTTTTTAATTATTATGATCTGTATAAAGTATCAAATACAGTTGTTTTACTTTACTTGTGAACTATCAATATTATAATTCAGTAATCATTTTTATGGAATAAGTATTAGTAGATTAACCCCGTAATATGTTATATATATTAAGAAGTTAATGGCTAAAGCTATAAGTACTCATTCTATTGTGAATACACATGTGTGTTTAATGGACTTGAAATTATTGAGTCAATAGATTTTTGTGAAAAAATGTTCAAAATAATTAAATGCCAAACAGATTTCTTCCATAAAAATAAATGCTCTCTTCATTGGCAATGTGTACAATGTCTAAATGACCTTGAATGGACTTACAATAAATCAAATGTATAATTGGTGAAACTGGAACTTCCACTTGGGCATGGAAACTTTGTTATAAACGTGTAATATGATCGAAGATTTTGAATTAAATGATATTTTTGCAGGTCACTGGACCAAATAATGTCTGAATTAAAATATATGCAAAATCCTATTCTCTTGGCTGGGGACTAGTCTTGACTTTGAATTATCTGATATTGAAATAAGATTTTGCTGTATTGTGATATAATAGTTGAAGATTATATTTTTTATATTGAGTGTTATCTTTATCTACATCATAAATTTATAACATAACAACAACAACAAAAGTATAATTTACCAAGGCTTAAGATGGAATTGATGCAAAATTCATGTAACAGAAATTAAAAAATATTTCTAAAAGAGTTATAAATTAACTCCTTTAACTTTTGGAGCTTCAAAACAGTTTTCTGCAATGGGAGTAGCTGGGTAGTGAAGAACAGGGCCTGGTGTGTTCAGAACAGACCACTTGTGCAAACTTTTTGATATTCTCTGACTTTACTGATTTGATCTCAGATATCCAGAACAGCAGATTGATGCTTTTGGGTGCATTGCCTGGTAAAGTTGCTCTAATACAGCAGGCTAAGCAAACTAATGATATAGATTGTTTCATTTGAAATGGACCAAGCCATTGGCTTGCCTATCCAGCTGTATTAAAGCCACTTTACCAGGCATAGTGTACTTTGTCTTGGTCATTTGCATGTAGCAATTTTCAAATGAGCAAATTAATCATTGTTTATAAGTTTTATTAAACATTATTGTACAAATAATTAGTCAAATTTATTAGAAATATTTTTAATAAAATTTTGTTTATAAGGTATAAATATTGTTTAGGTAGAAGAACATGAAGTGTGGTATACAAATTGCACAAATGAGAAAAATGAATCTTGTGCTGATGTAATAGCTAAGGACATCAAAAGTCAGTGCAGATGTAATTTAACATTTCAATTGCCAAATTTTAAGGTAAGAATTTTAATGATTTTTGATTAGCATCATTATTAATATAAGTAATGATGCACTTGGAACCAAATTACGGCGTGCTACAAAAAACATCAGAAAAAACGAATGTTTTCAAACCCCTTCTGGGCTCTACATCAGATTTTTAACCGTTCCTAGATTAATATTCAATTATGGAATGGTTTAAGTAAGAGTTTGATTATAATGTTAGTTTTTTTTATGTTTTTGTATCACGCTGTAATTTGGTTCCGAGTGCATCATTATCATTAATTCGGTATGGTGAGTAAGTAGATATTTATTATTATAAGATTAAAATTTAAGGATTGCTTTAACAATTTGTTTAATCACTGACTTTATTATAATAGTTTTGAAAATACGGAATAAATTTTTTTAATTTACTAAAAAAGTTTAAGTAAAAGTAAGATTAACTTCAAACTATATGTTTTTGTTATTTAGTTTGCTATTAATCAGATAAATGAAAAAATTGTATTTCATTAGATTATGTTCAATACAGAAATTAATGATCAAGCAGATTTCTCATTAAAAGTAAACAGAATTACTATTTCATAATTTAATTTTTAGTAGCTATTTCTAAAATTATTAGTTTGTCTAAAATTATGTAATTTGTTTATTACAAGACTAGCTGTTACCCACGACTTCGCACATGGGGATTTTGCAAGCAAACCCCATTTATATTTAGTATTTCAACAACCATAGTACATTCACTGCCAAAAGTTAAACACAGAGTGGTAAACTGCGAAAAAATCAACAAATACAGCTGTGATTGACACAAAATGCGGCAGGACAGTAGCAAATATGTTTATGCATGAAACAACACAAAGAATTACATAGAAAAATGAAAACAATATTGAATTTTCATAAAGTATAAGAAGAAATCATATTGGAATCATTAACAAAAAGATGTTTAAATCCAAAACAAACAAACAAAACTGACATTAATAGGGTAAATGTTCACCCCTTATCCTTACACAAAGTTTACAGCATGTAACCATGCTTTCCATGAGATGATCAATCAAATCACTCCAGAGTCAAATAAGTGCCATTCCTCCTGTAGAGCAGTTTGCAACTCTATGAGAGTGGCAGGGGGTGGGAAACGTGCACACATAGCACAGCCGAGGGCATCCCAAAGATTCTCAATGGGATTGAGGTCTGGTGAATACGCCAGCCAATCCATACGTGCTATTCCTCATTTTTGAGGTAGTCGTCAACGAGGGCAGTGCATTATCATCCATTAAAACAAAAGCAGGACCAACTGCTGCAGCATACAATTTCACAATGGGTTCAAGGACTTCATCCCGATACCGGACAGCCATCACAGAACCCCCTCAATAGATGTGCAGGTCAGTTTGATATCCCAACGAAATGCCTGTCCACACCATAATGCTTCCACCTTGGAATGCGTGATGCTCGATGATGTTCTGGGGTTGATTGCGTGTGCCTTTTTCTTTCCATACTCTTACACATTTGTCATCTGACTCCAGGGAAAATTGCGACTCATCTGTGAACATAACGTTGCCCAATCAGACACAGTCCAATTCACATCTTTCTGACACCACTTTAATCGTATGCCTCTGGATTGGACGGATAGTGGAACACAAACTCGTGGTACCCAGGCGTACCGTCCGTTCATGTGTAGCCTTCGGCACACAGTAGTAGCAGATATCATTTTACCAATGGCTGCTGCAACTATCAATGTCACACGTGTAGAGGTTGCTCTTCGATTCCGCTTGGCTACAACAGCATTATAGCATCTTCTGCAGAGGTCATAATTCTTGGGCGACCGGCCACAGATCTCCAGACAACTGTTTGGCTTGTTTGGAATTGTTTCCATAACCGTGAAATGACGGAATGATGAACGCCAAAGAAAAGAGCAACATCTGTGATTGATTGTCCTGCTTCAAGGCGTACCACACACCTGCCAGCACTCACTGTATGTCATTCGTCTTCTGGAAGTCATTGAAACATGTCAGTCATGCACACTAATTGTATGACAGTTCTCCGCATTTTTTTCTCGGCACTTACATGCAACTCTTCTCACATTTCAGAAGGCTGGCTTCTTATATGACTGCCAGTTTTGCATATTTTGCAACATGTAACCGTGATTTATAGTAATGTAACATATTTGCATACTTCCACCTACCTCTGCAGCAAATTGCAGCCTCTCAAATGCCGATTTCTTTCCAGACATGAATATTTTCTGCTCCGTGCTTAACTTTTGGCAGTGAGTGTAATTGTTATATAACACCTACCACTGAGAATGATGAGAATTGCTGAGAATCAAACAAACTGTTTTCAATTTGATCAATTTTCTGGAATGTGTCACAATTGTTCTATAATTGAACCAATATGCAATAACAAATTCAAATTTAAAACGGTTTGAACATTTGGTTAAAAAATTGAAATATATAAAAATATTTATAACATTGTCTGAAAGGTTATCAATTTAATACAATTTAATAATTTAATCAATGAAGACTAAACGTAATTGAAAACAAAAAATTGCTTCTAAAATAGTACAGTAGAAGCCGTTCTTCAGGTTAAGCCTTAATCCTCTCCCTCTCCTCTGCAGGGGAATTTCAAAAAATCCCTTCTTAGTGTGTGTTTTTATGATGTAACCTAACTGTGTACCAAATTTCACATCTTTAGGTTCAGTGGTTTGCTCTGGCAATGATGAATCAATCAGTCATATATTTAAGTAATTTTATATATTTAGATGATTTTCAATCAAGCTTAGTTTTAGTGCTTCAATATAAAGCCAAGCTTGCTTAATGCCAAAAAATTGATATGAACAGGTCTTATTTAATTTCTCACTAGCTATTTAATTTCAAAAATGGGTTCTGCTACAACAAACCTCAGCTTAAACAAATTTATAGCTTGGTCCAAATTTATACACACTAAAAAAATGTACAGATTTTGTTAAAAGACTCATAGTTTAATGTGTGCTGATGTTTTGATTGATTTAAGATTTCTTTTTTATTTCAGAAAGAAGTATACATGTATTATGGTTTGACAAACTACTATCAAAACCATCGTCGTTATGTGAAATCTCGGGATGATGCTCAACTTGTAGGAAAGACTCTTGAGGGAAGTCGGGATTGCGCCCCTTTCCAAAAGTTTAAAAATTCTTCTGTTGAATATTCTATTGCTCCTTGTGGTGCAATTGCTAACAGTCTCTTCAATGGTAAATATGTTATAATAAAGAATATTACATTTTTTGAAAATGAGTTTAAATTGTCTTTTAAGAGTTAAAAATCAATTTAAGTTAAAAAAAAAAATTACATTTTTGCTTATTTAATTATTATATTATAAATATTAGGTGTGATCAAATGAAACCAGTTCATGTGGTGTTACATATGTGCCTGCTGTCATTTAAGGGAATTGCAGATTTCCAAATGCTGATGTGTGTTGTTTTTTAAATAAGCTAGTGAGAAGTAGTATTAGAAGTAGTGTGATATTTTGTAGCTGTTTCAATATACTGAGTATCATAAAAAAAAAAAACAGTGAAATTCACAGGAGAATGTATGCTATTTATGGAGACAAATGTCTCCATAAATAGCATACATTCTCCTGTGTTATTGTTGTTTGTTAGAATTATGATTTTGTTTCTAGAGTTTAAATAACTATACAATATAAACAATGCATAGCATTATCTGCAGACACTAAACAACCTTCATTATGTTGTTAAAACAAAATGCTGGAAGAGGACCAAGTGCTTGCTTGTCTCCACAGTAATTCATATCTGCATGTTGCTGTCACTACTAAATAGATACTTCATGGAAAGAGGTGAGATGTTCTGGAGTATCCTCCATACAGTCTCAACTATTGTTACATGACTATTTCTTGTTTGGACCACTTAAGAAAACTTTGTCAGGCAGTTTTACAATGATGATGACATGAAGGCCACTGAGTGGTTTAAAGGACAGGAATTCTCCTTTATGGACAGCATTTGGCAACTGCCAAAATGTTGAGATTCCTGTTTGCAGGCAAATGGTAACTTTTTCAATGTGCATTAACTTATACTGCTGTGGACATATTCTTCTGTACAGTTATCCTACTTATAGCTGCTGAGTGAATTTCATTTGATCAATTCTAATATATAAATAACTGTGCAAGTAATACACAGTTATTTATTACTTAACACAAATGACATGTTATGTATTTAACTACAATGCTTTACCTGTAGTTAAATACATAACATGTCATTTGTGTTATGTTTTAGTTTGTTGTTGTATTGAAAAACCACACCAGTTTTAACTTATAACAGTATTTAACTTATAACTAATACTGTGTGTAAGCAAAAAATATTTGCTGTTATGATGTAAAATGATGAACGTAAAAAGTGAGTTGATTTGAATATTTCAATCAAAAATATGTACTATATTTTTCACATTTGGTTGACATGGTTAAAATTCTGACTTTTCATAATTTTTTTTTTTTTTTTTTGCATAGTTTGTATTATAAACATTTTTAAAATTAGAACAGATATAATTGGGATTTTTTACAATTTTAATGTTTTTGTTTTGTTTGCTATTCAAAAATGTGAAATCTTTTTCTGGAGTAAATACTTAATGATATAATTTAATTAATATATAAATTTTAATCTGCTTATTGTTCTTTGTTTGGTTATAGTTGTCATTATCTTCAGATAAATAGGCATTTTTAAGCAGTCTTTTTGTACTATCAACCTGAGATGGTTGCTATTGTGCAATCATTTTCAGTTTCAATGTTTAATGAGCACTTTATAACGTTAATCAATTTTTAATCATTATTTGCTTGCAGTATATTACCATAATTTGCTATGCATAACCTGCATTAGCATGTACCCCAACAAAAATTATGAGAATGAAAATAAAAATGTAATGTAACTTATATCACTGTCTATTCTCACCTCCAAAGTTACCATTGCACACGTCACTTAACCCATATGAAGTTTGAAAGGTATTTCAGATATTCCAGTTTTTTCTGTTTTAAATTAATACCCAATCTCCATAAAGCACCATAACTTGCTGAGATTATTTATTTTTATATAAACTAATGTTTTCAACCTATTCAATAGGCTATCCTCAAGTTTCACATAACTTTTGGAACAACAGTTAAAAGTGTTCCAAAATAGAACATTGAAAATTTAAACTGAAAAAATAACGGAAAAATATACATGCAAAAATATAATACATTAACCCCTTTTGAGCCGCCCATTTTTTTAGAATTTTTAATTAAGCATAAAAAATACTTAAAACTGAAAAAAAACGAAAGAAATGCGTTAATTTTGAAGAAAAAGCTTCAAATTTTATTTTCCTTTGTCACGTCTTNACTTGATTATATTAAAGCCAAATGAACTACCGTATTATCGGGCTATAAGCTTGATGCCATTATTAAAGTAGCCAAGGTAGACAAATCAAGAATATTAGACAGCAAAAGAAGTACTGTAATGCATCTCAAAAACGAACTAGAAATCTTTCAGGCTACAGGTGAAAAAACACACAACATTTGTCTTCTCTTAAATGCAGTAAAGATGATTCCACCCACATCAATTGAATCGAAAAGGGCATTCTTGTAGCAGGGCTTCTCATTACTAAAATAAGAACCAGATTGATTGATTGGAGTATTGACCATCTTTTCTTTTTAAAATCTTATAAAAATTTACAATAATATTTTGTATTGTGTTTTATTTAAATAATGAAAATTACCTTCTAACTTCAAAGTTTGGTGTAAGTTTATTTTTTTCTTTAAATTTTCAACTCAATTCAAAGGCATTTTTGTTATAAGCAGTTTCCAACAAACTTTAATAAATTTTTTCTCTTTCTGAAAATTTGTACGTAATTCAAAAGTAATTTTTTTATACATATTTTACACAGCATTATTATTATTATTATTATTTTGGAGGTTGCAAAATGGACATATTGAGATACTTAAAAATTTATTTTAAATTATTTTAATATTTTAAAGATTTATTTTATATCCTAAAAATAACTAATTATATCCTGGGATCCCAGGAAACAGTTTGCTTTTTCTCAGAATCCCAGGACAAGCAAAAGACTGGGAAATGAGAAATCGTATATATTTATTTACTTATTCATTCACATCTTATATATAAAGCAAATTGTAGCAAACCTATTAAGCAGAATAGTTTTTCTATACTAGAGAATTATATTGATTTTGTTTTTAAATTTTGATTGATTTTACATGATGATTTTTATGTATTTTACAGGTAGTGCCTTTAAACAACAAAAATTGCCAGCTTGGCAACCTATTTTGACTGCTGGAACAGTTCTTCCTACATTTTTTATTATAGGTTTAGCATTTATACCCATTGGTATAGGTCTATTGGTTTCATCTAATGAAGTAAGTTTAGTGTGTTTGTTTTTTAATTATTATGATCTGTATAAAGTATCAAATACAGTTGTTTTACTTTGCTTGTGAACTATCAATATTATAATTCAGTAATCATTTTTATGGAATAAGTATTAGTAGATTAACCCCGTAATATGTTATATATATTAAGAAGTTAATGGCTAAAGCTATAAGTACTCATTCTATTGTGAATACACATGTGTGTTTAATGGACTTGAAATTATTGAGTCAATAGATTTTTGTGAAAAAATGTTCAAAATAATTAAATGCCAAACAGATTTCTTCCATAAAAATAAATGCTCTCTTCATTGGCAATGTGTACAATGTCTAAATGACCTTGAATGGACTTACAATAAATCAAATGTATAATTGGTGAAACTGGAACTTCCACTTGGGCATGGAAACTTTGTTATAAACGTGTAATATGATCGAAGATTTTGAATTAAATGATATTTTTGCAGGTCACTGGACCAAATAATGTCTGAATTAAAATATATGCAAAATCCTATTCTCTTGGCTGGGGACTAGTCTTGACTTTGAATTATCTGATATTGAAATAAGATTTTGCTGTATTGTGATATAATAGTTGAAGATTATATTTTTTATATTGAGTGTTATCTTTATCTACATCATAAATTTATAACATAACAACAACAACAAAAGTATAATTTACCAAGGCTTAAGATGGAATTGATGCAAAATTCATGTAACAGAAATTAAAAAATATTTCTAAAAGAGTTATAAATTAACTCCTTTAACTTTTGGAGCTTCAAAACAGTTTTCTACAATGGGAGTAGCTGGGTAGTGAAGAACAGGGCCTGGTGTGTTCAGAACAGACCACTTGTGCAAACTTTTTGATATTCTCTGACTTTACTGATTTGATCTCAGATATCCAGAACAGCAGATTGATGCTTTTGGGTGCATTGCCTGGTAAAGTTGCTCTAATACAGCAGGCTAAGCAAACTAATGATATAGATTGTTTCATTTGAAATGGACCAAGCCATTGGCTTGCCTATCCAGCTGTATTAAAGCCACTTTACCAGGCATAGTGTACTTTGTCTTGGTCATTTGCATGTAGCAATTTTCAAATGAGCAAATTAATCATTGTTTATAAGTTTTATTAAACATTATTGTACAAATAATTAGTCAAATTTATTAGAAATATTTTTAATAAAATTTTGTTTATAAGGTATAAATATTGTTTAGGTAGAAGAACATGAAGTGTGGTATACAAATTGCACAAATGAGAAAAATGAATCTTGTGCTGATGTAATAGCTAAGGACATCAAAAGTCAGTGCAGATGTAATTTAACATTTCAATTGCCAAATTTTAAGGTAAGAATTTTAATGATTTTTGATTAGCATCATTATTAATATAAGTAATGATGCACTTGGAACCAAATTACGGCGTGCTACAAAAAACATCAGAAAAAACGAATGTTTTCAAACCCCTTCTGGACTCTACATCAGATTTTTAACCGTTCCTAGATTAATATTCAATTATGGAATGGTTTAAGTAAGAGTTTGATTATAATGTTCGTTTTTTTTATGTTTTTGTATCACGCTGTAATTTGGTTCCGAGTGCATCATTATCATTAATTCGGTATGGTGAGTAAGTAGATATTTATTATTATAAGATTAAAATTTAAGGATTGCTTTAACAATTTGTTTAATCACTGACTTTATTATAATAGTTTTGAAAATACGGAATAAATTTTTTTAATTTACTAAAAAAGTTTAAGTAAAAGTAAGATTAACTTCAAACTATATGTTTTTGTTATTTAGTTTGCTATTAATCAGATAAATGAAAAAATTGTATTTCATTGGATT